GATAATTGCCTGGCAACCAGTTCAGGTTATACGCCGCCGACTACTCGAAGACGGCTGGGAAAGGCTCCAGCACGCCCGCGAGCCTCATGAAGCCTTGTCATTGATAGTGATTTTTAAATGTCATAATAACAACATATAATAATAATTAAAAGTAATAATCAATAAAATACTATGGAAACTATATATTACATATACAATAAAAATAATAAAATAATATATTTTATCATAAAAATAAATATTGAATGATATTTTTTACATTAACAATAATTGAGAATTTTTTTTTCTTTTCACATTTTTTGGGGGAAATGTATGTTATGCTATTCTTCACATGAAATCATCAGCACATGACTTACTCATGACAGTGGGCAGCAGTGAGAACCCATTGTGGATTGATGAGAACACCCCCACAGTCCGGGATCTCTATCGTGAGCAGCGCCATGTAAGGCAACGAGTGGGGCTTGACTTCTTTTCCGCCGATAATCTCAGTTGCATCGTCTGTAAAAATCAAACATCGTAACAAAAAAATTAAAAAATAAAAAAAAATCAACTTATCAATAATCATCAATCATCAATCAATCAATCACAAAGGGTTTTACTCACTTGGCGCAACCATGAGGAGAGCCGCTGCAGAAAGAAAGCCACTCAACAACATTTTGCCTTCTTCTTAGACCACTTTGGTTCACACCTTTTATCCTCTCTTGGGGGATGCAAAGACATGAGTCCCTCATCTCGGTTTGTGACAATTCTTGCGTGGAAGAAAAATATGTCTTGATGCCATAAGACACATCAGTGATTCACTACAGGGACGTGGGGTCAGGGAAGGCAGCATTAAAAAAGAAAGAAAGAAAGAAAATAATTTAATGATTATGTTAGAGTATTTTCCCTTTTAGTTCCCTGATCCATGTATTATATTGATTTTCTTTTTTTATTCCAAAACAGCCTAATTTGCATAGTTCCTTTTTTTTGCCCGACCTGTCGAGCTCGGGTCATTCTTTGAAGGGTTTTGCAAAGTGGTCACGTAGCACCCCAAAAAGCATGGAGGCAGGGTGGACTGAACAAAATGTATTGAACAAAAAATACAAACTAAGGCGGACACAAAGACAACTGAGCCTTTATCGCGCCAATGTACAGAATGTTGTTTTATCACACATATCCCGAACACACTGATGTTTAAGAGTCTGTATAATATCCTTCTATCGATTGCAATGTGTCGAAGAAGCCCAGCAACATACTGTACTGTGCATAACCGACGAGAGCAGGGGTGTCAGACTCATTTCACACTGTGGGCCGCATACGGCCTAGGAAGATGTCAAGTGGGCCGGACCATTAAAATTATCCCATACTCTGCTATAAATAACTAAAATAATATGTCTTTCCTTTGTTTTGGTCTAAAGAAGCACAAGACCTTTCGGAAAATGTTGAAATGTAATGAACATATCTTTTACAAAACATTTCATGAAGCACCTTCGATTTCCTTAGACAAATGTACAATTTACTTTTATCATTCACATATATGCATTGCAACTGATCCCACTGATTGTACAAAGGCACAAAACTTTGAAAAGTAATTGGTATTTAAAATTTATAGTCATGCATTTCAAGATTAAACGAGATTCATAAAGAAAGGAATTTTTAAAACATTTACACATGGGCAAATAAAATCTCAATTTAATCCCTGCCTACACCCTACAAACGTAACAACAAAATGTAACAAGGAGAGTCCTATTAAATGTGTAAAGAATAAATGATAGCGTCTGCTGTGTCGGGTCTGTCTCAGTGACAGACTGAGACTGCGATTGTCTTGTTCTCTGATCAAAACAATGTTGTCTTCTACTCTTATCAAAACCGTGTGTCCCCTCGCGGATATTCCATGAATTGCACATTATTAAACATATTCATTCTGTGTCTTTTATTATTTTTTTCACTTTTAAATGATCCTGCGGACCTGATCGTACCTCCTTGGGGGCCAATTCCGGCCCGTGGGCCGTATGTTTGACACCCTAGACCAGAGCAAGCCTCGACCAGTTGAGGATGTGGAGACCTACTCACTTGAGTTGAAGTAACTGTGTTTGGCTCCAATGAACAAACGTAAGCGCAATTTATTTATTTGTTTATTCACAATTTTAAAGCAAGATCGTTAAAAAAACACGAACAAGAACAACAACAGCATTTAACTTGATCTTACATTAAATTTTCTTTTGTTTTCTTGCTATCACGTTGTTGAACAGTGTGGGATTGAAATATAATTAAAAGATTTGGAAACAAATACTGGTCTTCAAAAATTCCGTGTTGACCTGGATCGAAACAAGTTTACTAAGAAAGTCCAAATAGAAATATAGACTAATCTTTTATTTTGGGTTTGTTCTTTTACCTCTTACCCCAGAGGAGTCAACCAGTCATGAACCTCAATGCACATTCAATGGGAAACCGAAACTGATGTACCGGTAAATGAAAATCTGACACAGTGACTCGGGTTGCAAAGATGTACAGCATTTAGTCACATTTTTTTCCTTTGGCGTAAAATGTCCAAAATAAAACATTGTATTTTATTAATAATTTTGTTTAGTTTACCAAGACACGTGTTGCATTATATAGTATGCACCTCAGCTATGATTCAATATTTTACACAAAAAGGCCGAAAGTATCAACGTCTCTCATTGCAAAACTGAATTCTTGATATCATCAATAAAATAAATTAATGATGACAGCACTGGCTTGGATTATGTAACCTTCTAATCTAATGTAAATGGCAGCAAGTGTTGCAGTCGGCATCTTCAATTTGATGCACGGATCATCACAGTTTATCCCATAGGCTATCTTCCTTTGTGTTTCTTCGATAAATGACAGCAGAATTTAGAGGGGGGTGTAAATTAGTTTTTCTAGCACTTATTTTTTTCGTACTTTCTGTAATCTCCATCGTGGAACTTGTATTGTGTTTTCACGGGGTGAAGAGGGCTCCAATTAAAATTGTGACCTGTGTGCTGCACACAATGACAAACTTCATCAGTGATGTAATCAAGAAGAAATTCTACTTTACAAAAATAATAAATGACAAGTAGTCTTTCTTTTATGTGTATGTGTGGTTTTTTTTTTCATTAACGCTGTCCTATTTTTCAAAGGAAGTCTTCATGACTGTGTTTTTCTTGTGGTTTTCTCACCCACAAGTGAGACACAGCTTCCTCTTGAGGTCGGTAAATTGAAAGAAGAGGAGACCTTTAAACTCCCATTCAGTGGTAAACCGTTAATCGGGTAACACGACACTAACATATCGCAAAATGAATATCAAGAAAGTTTGTTTTATGGGAACCAAACCAGAATGCTATATACA